CCCCAAAACCCCAAAACCCCAAAACCCCTAAATTTATTTAAACTATTGAAAATGTAATATTTAATATGTCTGACCCTATTTGGCAACATAGAGAGATCAGGTTTGATGCTCCCTTCTCCCAGCTCACTCTTAGAAAAGGTGAGGTCCTAATTGACTCTATTGCTAATGTTGAAGATACTAAAGGAAATAATGGAGATAAGGGTAATCTTTTGATCACAAATCTGAGAATCATTTGGTTCTGTGATGATAACAAGAAGATCAACCTCTCTGTTGGCTATGACTGCATCCTCAATTCTGAAATAAAGGATAATAACTCATTGATGAAAGGGTCATCCCAGGCTCTTTACTTAAGGACAAGATTCCAACAGAGTAGGTTTGAGTTTATATTCTCCTCTTTGGTAAGAGATTCTCCAAGATTATTTTCCTCCTTCCAAGCAGTCATCAGATCCTATGAGACCACCAAGTTGTACAGAGATCTGAAGCTAAGAGGAGCTATTGTGCAAGATAGTGAGCTTATCTTGCTTCCAAAGGAGAAGGTATTTAACAAGTACACAGGTGTTTGGAACTTATCTCAGGAGCAAGGAAATCTCGGATCATTTTATATCTCGAATGTCAGAATTGTATGGTTTGCTAACCTTGCTGAAGGCTTTAATGTCTCCTTACCTTGGACTCAGATTAAGAATATTAAGGTGAAGGAATCTAAATTTGGAACTGCTCTTGTTCTTGAGACTTCTGAATTTTCAGGAAATTACGTTCTTGGATTCAAACTTGATAATATTGAAGAAGTCCATAAAGAAATTGTAGCACTTTACCAAGTTTACATTGCTAATCCAGTCTTTGGAGTGGAGGCTGCTCTGAAAGAGGAGTATGAAGACATTGAGAAAGTAACAATTCCCAAAGTGGAAGATGAGTTTGAAGAGGTTGATCAATCAGATGCAGGTCCCAATATGGTATCAGCACAATACTATCTGACCTCAGGAGCAGATTCATATTCTAAGAAGAAGAAATCAAAGATAATATTCTCTGAAGAAATTGGACTAGCAGTTGAGCAACCCCCTGAAGGATTAACTCTTGAAAAATTATGGAAAATTATGTAAGTTCAATAAAATTGAATATCTAAGGGGTTTTGGGGTTTTGGGGTTTTGGGGTTTTGGGG